CGGTTTTGCGGTTTTGGATGATTTTTTTTCTACTGTTTTGCGGTTTCTTAAAGACCCTAATGCCCCCCTCTGTAATTAGTGGCCGAAGACAGAAATTGGGGATAGGTAAACGAAAAACAATGTGATTAACCCATTTAACTTGTTTCTAATGTTCCCACAGGACAATATCAGATCAGTACTGAAAACGAGGTTATGTTTTGATACAGCTTTGCTTAGTGAGTATTCGGTTAGAGGAGCTCGAGTAGATTCCGACAGAACAGTGCCTAGCATAGGTAAAACGATATTTTAGAAGAGAAGAAGACGAGACAAAATCTAACAAAATATATAAAAGACCAGTTGAACAATCACTCAGACTAATCAATCCCTAAATTCCGTATCCCTTTCGTTACGAGTCGTTTCGTACCCACGCACGTTTTGTACTCAGTCGATTCGTACCCAGGCAGGACCATTCGTACCCAATCGGTTTGACTAGTAGTTTCGTACCCATACTAGTAAAGTATGTTTTCCAAGTTAAGTATATTTTAAGTTTGGCCGGTTTCTTAGGGTTCTCTTAATTTATGTTTAAGTGGCGTCCATTTTCAATACGGGACTACTAAATGTAAGGCCTGGATCCGAAATTGCAGGGTCTGGTCTCGATATTCTTTAGACGCTTACAACTTTGCTTGTTTCTAACTCGCTTGACTCTCTGCTGACTTGTTGTGGGCAACAATCGACATCTGTTCACGCACTCAAACGGAAGTTAGCCATTTCTTGAGATCTCCTGGATTTTGATCGTCACTGATTGTTTGCACCGGTACGAGTCGACCAGCGCCGGGCTCAGGTATGATACGACACAAAATGGGTGCAAATCGCCTGAATTTGGGTACGAAACGACTGGATATCATTGCTTCTGCCTAGGGAAAAGGAAGTCGCTGCTTTGAAATAATCAAATTTTGACCGACACGGCCTTCTGTTTCGGAGGCATAACCGAAGCTAAAGTTAAGCCTGTAGCCCGCTTTACACCGGGTGACCCTGGCGGGCTCAAGAAGTCGACATTTATCAGTGCATGAAGATGACGTTGGGGCCTCGCTAACAATCAAAACAAAAGATATATTTAGAAAAAAACTGATGAGAAAGAATCTCAGACAAAATCAAAGTCCCTGACCTTGATTGAGGGGTTGTTCATTGTCGTCAAATGTCTGGGTAACAATTAACTAACAATCATTAATATTTTTAGAAAGCATTAAATCTACGTATCGACTGACTTATCTACGCATCAATTTTGTATTGTCTAAGCGGATGAAGACAATACATACCATTATCAACCAAGAAGATTTATTAGCAAGCGATAACGGAAGGAAGTCGATAACCAGCGTACTCTTGACTTCAGATCTCACATTCCTTTCTATAAATTTGCATAAATATGTTTTTTCCTTTTTTATTTCGTCTGTGCTTGCCCCCTTTTTGGTTTTCCCAGTCGGAGAAGACATGATGCGTTCGAAGTTGATAATCAATAAAGATTACGTATCTATTCAAGTTTTTATTGCAGGGTAAAATATATTGCGGTGTTGAAAAATCATCAAGCAAGTTCATGTCGACGCATTTGTACATGGCTCACGCACACAATCTATTGGTATCCAATCGTCTTTTGCTTTCATCTAAATACTGATTTTCGTGTGCTTTAGTTTCTCATAATGGTCGAATAAAAGTTTCAACCACTGAATAATCTCTTCTCGATTTTAATCCGTTGAGTATTGATCGTAATTTTAATTTGATATTCGTTCTGTATTTTTAATGACGTTAGTAATTTGCAGCAGCACTTAGCTACTTAATTTCCCTTTTTTGTAGACCAATGATTTACAGTTGGTTATTTTGTGAGAATTCATTATTGACCTAATGGGTGATTAGGAATAAAGTCTATTGTAAACGAAACCCAAGGACCAATGCATTTCCGCTTGTCTACCTTTGTTTCAACTCGTGTTTGAGCTTGTTTGCGTTTCCCGACAACGCCACAATTGATGCTAGACAATAACCTTTGGCGGCTTAATCTCTCTCCTTTTCCTTCTTTACAATTAGCGATAGATACCGCCAAAAATATAGTTCTGTAGCGAGTTACTCAAGCGAGGTTTTGCTAATTGGCAAGAAAGCGCTAAATGCCTCATTAATGAAAATAAGATTCTTCAATGTCAAAGCATGTACTGGTGTAATGGCGGAACTACCACTTCGTTCTCAAAGACTTATAGACTAAATAATTCCCTAACCACTGATCGATTTATCCAAAAGCAAATTATGTTTTTTTTTTCCGGAAATTTAAAGAAGATGGTTTGCACGCGAAAGACCAATCGCAATTCCATCGGGCAACGACTGAGATGAAAAAACTGAATATGTTTTAAATTAAATCTAGAACCACAAAGACATTGTCAGTTTTTATAAACTTATCCGCGAATGAGTGAAAGCTGACAACGTAACTTGGCAATTCTTAGAGATTGTTTCGATAAAGATTTCGCTTTTTCGGCTCATTATAATTAGCGAGAATTTCATTTTGCAAAATTACTGAAATTGTGTATAAACAGAATCGATTTCACGTAGTGACTGTGTAAATTTTCCGCAGAGATGCGATTTCTCGCGAGCGACTTATTAGTGTTGTCTAATTAATGTTCGCTCGTCTTTCTTCTAAATATTATGGCTTCGGGGCTCTTAAGAATAAATCTGTTTATCATGGTATACGTTTTTGTGCCCATATTGCTGGCCGCTTTAAACTGTCAACGCAGCAATCTCATAATTTAGCGTTGACAGCTCCCACTTGAGGTAAAAACCATCCTACTTTACATGCGGTCCTTGAGGTATTAGAAGCCTTTGAAACCTTTCTTGTGCTCTGTCAGTCCCCTCGTCGAATAATTATTCGATTGAAAGAGCGGTATGAATTGTAATTTCTCCGCCTTCAAAAAGAGACAAACGGTAGATGATTTGCCTGCAGCGAATTAAAATGCAAAGCGACTCGTTTCTCATTACAGCTGCGGCAAATGTCTGTCTGTTTACATAGCAAACAAGAAATTTGACAATTTCCTTTATCACCATAAGCAATCTTTATGAGATCTATTTTAGATTTAATTCGAAAATATTTTAAGAAACTCACCTCAGCAAAGTTGATTTAAAGAGCAAAAAATTTCAGATTCTTCAGTGCTTTCATCTCTAAGCACGTGATTTTTTTCTATAGTCGTCAATTGACCATGTCGACGCAAATAGTAATCTGCATTCGAGCAGTGTTACCATTGACAGCTGAGCGACACTAAAATCTCCCGCTGAATTCATTGATATTGGACTATACGAAAGAATCCACGGGTAGCATCAAGATGACCCAACCAAAATAGACTATTCGAAGATTTATTTGGCATTCAATACGTAAGAACGCGCCAAGGAAATTTGCTCAGTATTGGGCCTTCACATTAATGCCAAAGCTTTGTCTATGATTCTTCGTAATACATATACGTCGTCAAGGATTGATATTTTCAATGCAGCGACTTCCATACTTGGTTTGTCCACCCGCTGTAAAAGGCCTGTGGTTTCCCAGTATGTTCTTGCTCTCTATGGAAAGAGAAAATCAGTTGGAAAGCGGTTGTTTTCTGGGAGTCTATATTAGCATAGCGTGTCCGTGACCGATTCAAAACCAAATAATCTTCGACGTGTAGCGACAGCCAAATGTATTTCGTAGTTCTTCTGTTTGCTTACTCTCTTCGATTTTCATGGCTTTATCGAAAAGACATCTAATCTCGAGATTTTTGATGGCAAGAACAAGGAGGAAATGTTTATCATTACTGCTAACTTCTATCATTTTATACGTCGTTGGCAGTTTTATCTGCTTGCATATTCGCGATTATCATAATGGACTCAAGATTTTTAGCAAAGATGATTCACTCACAACAACCGACCTTTTTCGACTAACACAAACAGTCTCTGTAACGCGTGTGAAGGAAGTTTTTGAGGTACACCGCGACGAATGGGGAAAAAACGAGCTTGTAACAGCTGACAAGTCGCAAAATTCACCGAACATTGAAACAAAAATCATTGATTCAACAAACAGGGAAAGCGACCTGTCACCGCGGCTACAAGGATCACAACGAAAATTTTTGTTTGTTTTCCGCTATTATGAGCAGTTAGGTAGAGCGACGAGTAACCTTTTGGATTTAGCCTCACTGGCGAAGAACAAAAATCGTGTTTTGGTAGTTCCATATGTAAATAATTCTCGCATGTCCGGTTTACCAACTGGAGTAAGTCATAACTTTCGCAAGCCTGAACAACCTCCGCACAGTACTTACTCTTTACTTAGCGAGTACTTCGATTTGGACGACTTAAACTTAAAATTAGAGTCTCGAGGTTATAGCACTTTAAGAAGCTTTCGTGACCTCGAGTCCGACTGCAATAAGAGATTCAATATCGTGGTGCACTTTTTATTCCAAGATAAAAATTACAAAAAAGTAGCCGCTCTGTGGTACAGGATAACTCAAGAGGAGGTTGAAGCCACTTATAAAGGGGCTCGAGAACGCGATGGCTGGGTAGACTGCCCTTTTATAAAGCACTCACGCCTTAACAAACAGATACAGTTTAAAGTAAAACGCTATATTTGCGTTGATCCGGAAGTTATAAAGACTGCTAGCGATTTAGAAGATAATGTTCTTCAAGGAGCTAAATGTGTTGGTATAGTTCAGTGGAGAGGTACGGGCCAAGATAGAGTTCACTTCCCTTTAGACCCATCTATAACACAGCCTTTACGACCGGTCGACCTAGAATTTAACTCCGAACTCGTCGAGCTGGCGAAAAACTTTGTGAAAGAGAATTTGAATGAAGGATTTATAGGCGTACATGTTCGTTCCGAGAGACATATAGCTCGCAAAGGGGCGAACGTTACAAAACGATGCATGGAAAAACTTGCAAACCGCGTGCAAGCCTTGCGGGACGCTTTGAAGATCAACAAAGTCTTCCTTGCCTCAGATTTAACAGATTATGGCTCGGATACGTTAATGAATTTCGCAGACATGAACTACCGAAAATCTCTATCGACGTACCTTCGCAATGTTTTAAGCAAGCCTGTGATGTTTAACCCGAATGGAGTTCTTTACGACAATGGCGCCGCGGCAATTGTCGAAATGAATATCCTTTCCATGGCTGAAAAGCTTTTCACTCTTGGAGGTGGAAATTTTCAAGAATGGGTGGTAGGTTTGTTTCTAAGGAAGCATAATCACCAACAGACAAGAATACATCGAATTTGTGAACTTAACGAATAGTTTAAAACGAGAAATTTTTCTGCACACAGAGGGAAAAATGTTTCTTCTCTCCCGGGGTTTCAACGTAACAATTTAAACTTACGAATTACCAGTAATTGCGTAAAGACGAACGGGAGAATTCAAATATTTATTTGGTTTAAGATGTAATGATATTTCGACCACAACCTTTATTTTAAACAGGAAAAGAATATAACAATGAAACATTGACAAAAAGAACAAGATAGGATAAAATAAAAATTAGGTTAAATTATTTTCGAAAGTTATTACTAAATTATGTTTTGTAAATAGCTCCCATTTGTGCAAGACCTCTCTCGAAGCTTTTCTTTTAGTTAGTTATTTATATTTTCACCTTGATAGATGCAATAAGTTAAGTCTGGGTTTTTCTCGTGATCGAATGACTCAGCAGAAGTATGGAAAATGTTGCTTCTGCGGTTCCATACAGGCGTGAATTGAAGGCATAGAATACATCAGTTTTTTTTTTGTAATTTAGACCTTCATTCATGTATGCCACAACGACGAAAAGATATCAAAAGCTTTTCATCTGATTTTTTCCTCTCTAAATCCTTGCGAAACGTCTTATATTATATTATGCAGTTATGAATTCGCGTCGAATCCTTTCAATGATAATCTTCACGACAATCATTATTCAGGCTTTAACACACACAAAAACGAAAGATGCTCACTGCAGCCCTAACTTTGTTCAAGACAGTGGTATCTATCATCAATTAGCCTTAGTTGATAGTACAACGTTCATCCATGTCCGTGCTGCTCTCCAATCAAGCGCGTTTTTGTTACCGATTTAGCGCAGAGAATCTATGGTTGTTCATCAGAGTAAACTGTTGAAGCATGATGACTATCAAAATTCCTTACATAACAGTCCTTAAAAGACTCTTGTTTGGAGCGGTCAACTGCTTCCTTAATGAATAAAGAAACATTAACTGTAGGGAAATGAATTCAGTTTCTGGTATTTGTAAAAATTCTTTTCATACCAGTCCTTTATTTAGGGGCAATCGACTGCTTCCTTGAGGACATAAGGTAAGTTAAAGTTTTGTAAGTAGGGGCGCATTTGTGAAATGACTAGGTCGCCTGATTGTTTTCGTCAAGAGCAAGTTCACTCTCTCTGCGTTCAATATGCTAATCCCGCATTCCATTCTCTCACAAACTAGCGACTCATCGTGCATAAATACATTAGCATAATGATTTTAGAGCTGGAACAAATATCAAGCCAAGCATTCTGCTCGCGGGTCACCTTGGTGTCACTCTCAATCTATATTTGGGAAAAATGCTAACTTCGAGTTCCGTATTAGACTAGAATTTACACATCCAAATTTTCGGGCTTGTTCATGACAACTTTGAATTACATCTTGCATTTCCTAAATTCTCATTTCTTTTCCTTTCGAAGTAATAACGAAGTATTCACCAATGTGAGGAAAACAACTGAGGGATTTCGTCAAGTGTTTACGACAAAGTTTTTAGCTTTAAAACCGTGACCGTGACCCAAATGGAATCTAATATGGCTGTATTTCGCCGCTTTTATCCATTCTTAAACTAATATTGTTTTAGGCTATTCGCTGATATCAGGTTGGAATTTAAAAGAGAAAATAAAATTGAAAATATTATTAGGCTGATAAGTCGTTGTTATTCTTTGGTAATTTTATGAGGAGAGGAGGTATATTACCTTCCTGTTTATTTTTTTTCTCAGTTTGCTTTTGATTTTTTTACACTGCCATAAAAGTTCCAAATTTGACGAAAGCTGTGGGACGCCTCTATATTCCCTCGCCCAACCCTCCCTTCCCCAAACAGTATCATGTTTTAACTGTGAACAACTTACTTGTCTAGCACTCTAGAATGGGGGAAAGTTCATCAAGAAAAATAGCCCTTATAATGAAGTTCGCACAGTGATTAATTGCCCCAAAAATATAAAAAAATTAACACAAGTTGGTCTTATCAACTGAGTTTGTGAAAGAATTGCTAAGGCTGACGCCCAATTTCAAGCGTCAGTCCTCCGCCATTTGCCCCGACGAAGGGCTAACGTGTCAGCTTCAGAAACTCTTTATATTATCAACTCAGGTGACAGAACCTTATTGAAACTTGTTCTGCTATAGCATGATTAGTCCCTTTCACAATAATTTCTATTTTTAAGAAACAACTGTAGAAAGGTCCCAAAAGTGAATACCTAAGGCAATTAAGGAGAAAAAATACCTCACTTGTAATATAGCCTCAAAACAATGTTTTACTTCAAGGTTGAAAATCCTTGTAATACGTGTGCACTGAAAGTTTCAACCTTATGCTGCGAGCAACACGAAAGGATTCATCTTTTCCGTTGATTCAATTCATAAAATGAAGCGTCAGTTTTGTCTGTAATCTCCAGAAGTAGAAGTTTCAAACACGTGAAAGCTGAAAAAACTCCGCGCCTTGAGAAAGTCATCCGCGCTTCATACTTTGGGGGCCTGGTACTTTGATGTCGGGGCCAGCATCTTCAAATTCTCGTCCTGAAGTGAACGGTGTGGTTCTTCGTCTTTTGTACCTCTTTACGAAAGGGACGTCGATCTTTACAAAATTGTCATCCTCCGGGTTACCTTCTAAACAGTGGCAGTTTAAAACGTCCACTCATCAAGTGTGATGGCTGCTAAATCTTCACTTGCAGCAGCAGTGGCATTTTCTTGGTCTACAAGGAAAATCAAAGTCTAAATACTCAGCTTTCCAACCTTATCATGCGACATCAATTGCTATTTCATCAGTGGCCGCCTACCTCCGCTAGCTTCCCNAGATGCTAGCCACTCTTAAGGCTGAAGGGGTTACTCACTGAGAGTAAAAAGCCTCTATCACCCCTAGATCAAACATAAAGGTCGCGAGAATAAAGGAGATTATCACCAATTAAAGAAGTTCTTAATCCTTAAACGTATTCTCCTTATCAGTAATAAGGGAAATGTATAGAGAACAAAATGGAGAATATGAAAATTGACGTTAGGATGTTAAGGGTTAGTTAAAGGAACTATTTCAGTACAAAAGTGGGCAAGAATGCGCACAGAGTAAAGATTGCTGTTGATGTTCACGATAGTCGTGATCGGCGGATAATCCTTACCAATGCGTTTGTCTCTCTCGCAGTTTTCGAGCGATGGAACAGAAGAGAGGAGATCTGGCAAAAGCTCCTTCACTTTCCGCTTCACCTTCAAACAAGGAAAATTAAACTGCTTCAGAAACCTTTCCCTATTTTACCAATAGGGTTGTTTAATGTATGAAGAAACCTTTTGTCATCTTTCAGCCGAAGATGTGTCACGTGCACGCTGAGAGTCTTGCCGGGTTGATCAAGTGACTATTGTCATTCACATGTCAAGAAATAGAATCAGAACTTCATGAAAACTTTGATGCTACTTCTGTACAGATAAAAGAAACTTAAGACATCTTTGTATCTAAGGCTTAAGTGCTAAGAAACATCCATTCGCATTTGCACACAGCACAACAGCATGGTCTTCAAACGGTCGCTCGCAAGAACGCGAGATGATCTTCCTTTGACGACTACCGACAAAATGTATGGTGATAATTCTGCGTAGTTGCAGTTCTTAATATCCTTCGGTCTTGCCTACCTGCTTGAAGAACACATGAGACGCCAAGCTGGTGGCTGTCGGCCTGTAAACGATAGAAAAATTGTGGTTTCCTTTACGTGCAAAGCCAACTAGCGGAAATATTTATCGCTTATCCGAACTTTAGTTGATTTAGACAATTATCAAATGAATAACGAACGCGATGCAAGACAAGTTTGTTTTGAGCCATCCCTCCCTGTGACTGGTCGAGAGAACAACGCGGTGACCACACTGTCAACCAATTAGATGTACGGCTGTAATCAATAACAATGTAGTTCACTCACATTTTCCCGTGCTTTAGGCCAATACTAAGTGTTCTCATTGGTTCCCTGACTTTGTTGTCTGATTTTTCGTAGTGATTGCTTTTGGATTGATTCTTTTACAATCGATCCAAAGGCGCTAATTTTCCAAGTCGAACTACCGTTCTCGTTTCATTTTCATATATATATGTTCAAACTTTTATACTTGCAGGATTCGTCAAAATTATCTTTAATGTTGAATGGTTGACTAACTGGAAAGGAAGAGATCTCATTTTTTTTTTTTACCTTTCTTGCACCGGACCGAGGAAAAAGTGGCATATTACCTTAAAGACGTATCTCTTTGCAAACAAGAGTCGACAACCTGCAAACAGAAGCCAAAGGGACAAACGTGAGTAGAAGAAAATTGCAGTGTTTCATATACGCATATTCATGCCTTTTTTTTAAAACACACACCTGCGCAGCAGGTTTTGTGCAAGTCACGGTCATCGATGAACAAGGCCTTGAAGTTCAAATTCACAATCCCATGAGCTTTTTAACTTACAATCGTATACTTGAACAGAATCTCGCATTCTGATTGGTTAACGACGCGAGGTATTTAAGATGTAATTGCGTGTTGAAAACGAGGCTAAGTGATGTTGTTTCCGCGCATCTCTTGTTTCGCGCTCAGGATAGAAACAAACAATACTTTTGCTGTTTTATTTTTATTTTTCCACATTTTCATTTAATCATACGACTCCTGGAAAATCAATTACCTGACTCATGAATTCTACGTCAACTTTCACTCGAAAACCGGTATCGCACTCATCGCGCAATATCGGTTTTCGCCTGCAATTTAACGTGTAATTCCCTCGTCAGGCAATGAATTTTCCTATAAAATTCATCGTTGGAACAGTCCGTCCAACATTGAACTCAGTTGAATTTGTTACGATAACTAGCCGTGAGGCGCACGCGCATGCGTGTGTATCAAGATTTTTTTTTTCGTGAGAAAAGTCGTCTTACAACTATAACTGCACAGCAACATGTTCCGGCATGTGTCTGTCTCATGTTCCCAGCTAAGTTAACAGCTAATTTGTATTGATGTAGATTAAAAATATTACACATACAAACATGTTTAAAGAAAGGTGAGGGCGCTTACCATTTATCAAGTCAAGTGCCAATGGAAATAGAAACTAAATGCTATTTCTTTTGATTAGGAGCGTGTGAGACGGATGTGCTCACTTGTGATTCAAACTGCCAGTTATTAGAGCTGACCTGTTCATTCATGGTCAATAAGGTCCAACTGGCAAGTTCTGAGTAATAGCAAGCGGTCTACGTTCACCCACCTGCTGAAAAGCAAGAGAGAACATGCCCTGGGATGTCATCTGACTTGTCTCTTTTCCTTCGCCGGCGGAAGGGAGGTCGTTACCGAAACCCGAGTCTGTTGCTGAAGTCAGCTGTGCCGAAGAGTCCACGTCATTCATCATCAGTGAGTCACACAGCTTTGGGGTGCTACCTTTCAGTTTCTCCAACAATACCTGCGGTAAAAAACACGGCCCCACTTTGTTAAAATATTCACCTTCAAACATGTCGAACCTGAAGTTCTTCCGGAGATTCAAAAAGGGGATGAAATCAGTAAAACAAGCAGTGTATATTCAGCGAACTCGTCGTGTTCTTTCTGTGATATGAGCAACATTGGAGTACAAACTGAACTTCCATTAGCCGCTTACTTTGCACTTTTTCCAGTTTACTTTAAAACGTATTGGAAACCATGCATGAATGGACTAAAATCCAGTGAAAATTCCCTAAGAATTTTTGGGCTTTTCATGTTAAGCGCATTAGAGACTCGTTGTGGCTTATGTCGATAGTTGTTGCATGAGCTTTTAATGGAACTTTTGGCGCAATTTCCGATAGATTTTTCCAGTGGCCCGAGCGTAAGATGTATTTGTTAGTTGTCGTCGTTACTCTTACCAACAAACGCTGGAACTCAAAAGTATCTGATAGCACTGTCAGTAAGAAAAATTTACAGTACATGTATACTTTACCTTGGTGGGTGGCATTCCGATATATGGAACAGTTCCTCTAGCTAGCTGTATAGCAGTTATGCCAACACTGTAAATATC